CACCCCACCTCCATCCCCCCTCCCCTCATCATTGTTAGTTTAGCGAGGTTGAGGTTTTTGTTTTATGGCGGGCTGGTTTCGGATGGCCACGCATAACTATTTACTCGCGTAAAAAAAGACGCGTTCACATTGAGGCGCCCTTCTATCGTCGCGGGCCCTCACTGACGTCATGGCTGACCCACAGAGAACGAGGGGAGAGGGAAGGGGGTGCAGAGGAGTGCGTGTTCGAGAGGAGAGAGAGAGAGGAGGGGGGTCGCAGCTTGCAACACTTGGCTACAAAAATAAAGGACGGAAAGGAAAGGGAGCGAAGGGTGCGGCGAAACGTCCCCCGATCCATCACGACGTCTCACGGCGATATTTTCGGCAAACTGTGCATCCATTTCCCTGTGCCCTGCCGGTTAATAATGCGGCGCCTGCATAGTGAGTTGTCAGGCATGACAGCTTTCAGAAGGGAAACAAAACTATGTGAGCTGTTTACTTGAAACCCGTCACTGCTGTAGGGTGTTTGTATTTTTGGGGGGTTTAACTTAAACCATCCTTTTTACTAAGGAAAGGGAATGAAAAGAATAATTTAAAATGGATCATGAGTTTTAGTTACACGTCCACTATATACCCAACCCAACGCGAGAGCGGCCTCGACAGCTGTGAGCAGCGGGCAGCTCGTAAAGAGTTGTGAGCGTAGAATTGTTTTTAATGGCGCACACAGAGTTTGCGGACTACACTGCTCACTAAATTTGTATTGATGACCGAGTAATATGCTGTATCACTTTAAGACCAATGTCCTAACCAGATTAACAGATGCATTTTGAATCACAATTTAGTAATATGCTTTACATTTTGGGTGCGAGAACTCCGAGTGGCACATCACCGGACGCCTTTTTACGCCTAGATTCATTTCTGGAAGAATATTTCCCCAGATGAGACCCCGCCCCCCTCGACATTTGAATATTTTTGCAAAAATGAACGTACTTAAACCATGCTGTGGTTCATCTTTCTCCTTATAAGGTGTTCATATTCCGCGTTACCATGTTCACTGCTTTCCGTTGGACGGTAATGTGTTAACTGCGACCGGTTATTATGTTTCTCTGGAAAAAAGCATTCAGAATACTTAAAGTATAGTCATGCCACCAGGTATTTATGAAAAATGTATATCTTGAAGTGATACATATCTTTAGAAAGCATCTCTTGCGTTTAAGTTTCGATTTGTTAGGTAATTGGACACTGCCGCTTCTTCACTGCTCATTCCTTATACGCAGCAACCATATGGCAAGTTGACTTGGACACAATTTCATTTTACTTATTTGTGTGCAAAAGTAATCAAAAGCACAATAATCGCTTATGTTTTGCGTGATACTCTCCGTTTTCACAACAATCCTGTCAATGTACTCGCTGTAGTACTGATTAAGCTGTTGTTCGTCGAGGAATGAAACGAAAACGCCTATGGGCTGCTACATTTGTGTCACAGCGTGCTGTGACTCGTTCGTATACCCTCCTCCGGCCTCTTTCTCTCTCTCTCTCTCTCTCTCTCTCTCTCTCTCTCTCTCTCTCTCTCT